GTTAAGAAAAAAAAACTTTACCACTGCCAAATTTCAAATTTGCACTGTAATGAATTTAAAATAACTCTGCAGTTTTTTCCAATTACACTGAAAAATCACTCTCCTCAATGCAAATAACCTTGGAATTTCCCACAGTACAGTCCCAGAGTGCAGATATAGCTGCCGTTTAACACATAGCATCCTTTCTGCATATCAACTCATTTGTGTTAGAAAGCAGCCAAGCAGCAATATGTTTAGTTAATCAATTATCCTCCATACCGAGTTTATAATTAGAAGAATATTAACCACCATGATGGATAGATCTTGTACTAGAAATTTAATTATATTCCCCGTGCCTGTAATTAGCATGGATATTTAGGTGGTATTGTTTGGTGTTTATTATATGAGTGCTTTTACATTTGTTTTAGAGGATCCCCCTCAAGCTGAAATATTTATACTTCTCCAACTCTTAATTTGCTGTTACAAGAGGGAGAAACAACTGTTCACTTTCAAGTCCAAAAAAAACCCAACCAAAAAACCCTAAAAGGATTTACATTCTTTTGCATGATTACATACTTCTGCATTATATTTGCATCACTTGACATTCCTAGGTGTGAAGTCTTAGAAGAAGTTGACTTTCCTAAAGATATTGCTCAGGTCTTCAAATTGCAATGAAATAAAATAAGACAAACATAAAAAAAGGAGTAGAAGTGGCTAAAATTTGTATCAGAATTTCAAGGAACTTACTAGCAAATTTTGTGCAGACATCTGAGTATTCAGAACACCCACTGAAGTATTTAGACATGCCTGCACAGCATTTTGTAGTGGGTTTTGAACTGGCAAAGTTGTGCTGAGTAAAAACAAAGTCAGCTTGAGAGGACATCATTGACATATCAAATCTTTGCACTTACTGTTTGTGTTGTCATAAGGCTGAGTTTACACATTCCCTAAGGCTCTTCTGTGTTCATAGAATCATAGAATTTTAGGGGTTGGAATGGAGCTTAGAAATGATCCAGCCCCAAGCCCTGCCCTGGGCAGGGACACCTCCCACCAGAGCAGGTTGCTCAAGGCTCATCCAACCTGGCTGTGAACACTGCCAGGGTTGGAACATCACTACACAGAATCCCAACCCAAAATATATGTTAGGTTGCAAAACGTGGATCTAATGGAAGCATATCATCTCCTCAAGACTGATCTGTACTCATCTTCTGAGGTGTGACCAGCCAGCACCACTAGTTGTGTGGCTGAACTTTTTGTATGTTCCAGCAATGCAAATTGCTTGATTTATGGAGCAGCTCAGTGCATTAATTATACCTCTGTGCTCTAATTACTGTGCTGAAGCTCTAAGAACAATTCACATGTGTTTCCTTTTTGATTCCTCTCCATTACTTTTCCTTGGTTGCTCTCACTCACCTGTTGTACCAGTATATTGGGGGATACACCATTTTGTTCTAGGCTTGACATGCTGGAATGAGCTGTTTCCTTGTTAAGTAATTCCAGCTAAACTCCTTAAGTAATGAGTCTGCTTTGACCTTCCTTACCTTAATATTGAGCCTTGTAAGATCCACACGTGTCTCTGCGTCCCAGGCAGTTTCCAAAAGAAAAGAAAATGCTTGTTTGGAAAAATGCCTAATTTTGAGCAAAGCTGAGACACAAATGATATAGACTTATCTAAACTAGGATAGAAAAACTAGTGGAAACTGTTTTGGTCGGAAACATAGTGTAGCATCTTGTTTGTGAAACAAACTCAGGGCTGACTTATTAAACACTAATAGCATTATGAAGAAAAACCTTAATCTAAAAAGATAAAGCTTGGCAAAGAGGTGGTGTGGTGACCTCCTGCAGCTGATTAGTCTAATCACTCAGGGGGTTTGGCTTATTGAATTAATAAATGGAGAATTAATTAGCTAGCCATTACAATAAAGGTGAGTAAATCAGCCTTTATATTCCCAGAGCAAAATGTGAATCACCTCATGTGAAATGGTCTTCAAAGAAGAAATTTGTTTTTCTTGTATGGGAAGTAAATTTTTTTAAGAGTGAGATAACATGAAAAATTGGCAATGCCTAATATTGGGTTTATGAGACTATATTTTAAGCTTTTATTTTCACTTTCATTGTTTTGTACATAAGGGAGATTAGTGATCTGCTTCTCTCCAGCTAAAATAATGAGCAATGAAAACATTTTCACCTCTGTAAGTTTTTAAAAAGGGAGAAAATACCTTAGGTTTGGTAATGTTTTAAGGAGACTGATTACAGGCTTTTCCTATTTTGATATTTTCACATCCTTGATGTAAAAGATGTCAATTAAAAGCAAATATTTCAGAAAAATAATAGCCTCTGCTAAGTATAGGTTCATGTAAATGTACATACTTTGCTGCTCAGAAGAGCAAGCTCAAGGATCTCTGTCAATGTCTCCACAATTCTGTGATTCTAAAAGCTCAGCTGTTGTAATTTTTCAGGCATGTTTTAGGCATAAGATATCTTTGGATTCCACACTTCATGTGGATTTCTGGCAATTTAATTCAATTTAATTGATACTGCAAATAGGTTGTCAGAAGAAGGTAGGATTGGCCTCGAATCAGTTATTTGTGTTAGGTCAGTCAGGCAATAGTTACTCAAGAAGTTCTGCTCGAAGTGAAGTCTTTAGGAAAGCAGCAGATGAGACTGCAGTTAACCTTGATTTGCCAGCCATAGACAGCAGTTATTGGTGACACCTTCAGAAACCTCTGATGAGTTGTTCACTTCCTTTCTTCCAATGAATTATTCATCTCTTCATCTCTGTTTCAAGTTTTCTCTTTCTTTTGATCACAGGCAATGGACTGGGAATCCGAGTCGTAGGTGGGAAAGAAATTCCAGGGAGCAGTGGGGAAATTGGAGCTTACATTGCCAAGATCTTGCCTGGGGGCAATGCAGAGCAGACTGGGAAGCTAATGGAAGGTAAGATAAATGCTTTCAATGAATTATTCATCTCTTCATCTCTGTTTCAAGTTTTCTCTTTCTTTTGATCACAGGCAATGGACTGGGAATCCGAGTCGTAGGTGGGAAAGAAATTCCAGGGAGCAGTGGGGAAATTGGAGCTTACATTGCCAAGATCTTGCCTGGGGGCAATGCAGAGCAGACTGGGAAGCTAATGGAAGGTAAGATAAATGCTTTCTCCTGGAGCTCGTCGTGAGTTTGTTAGAATTATTTATAACATACTTATCTTTTTCTTGCACATTGAATTCAAGTTTGTGCAAGGAATGAGGGCTAAACCTCCATGAGTCTTACAGCAGAAAAGGACAGGTAGAAAGTAGTTTTAGAACTCCTACAGTGCCATGATGAGCAGTATTGTGCCATGTCTTCAGTAGTATGTGCCAACATGCTGTCTGCATCAGGGTAAGGTGACATGGGTAGAGTCCATCTGTATATCATGGTCGTATATCATCAGTACATATATCATGGATGTGCTGCTTGGAAGATCTTTAACTTGGCTTGATCATCTAAATATCTATGTTTGAGATTACTTACATTTCTCAGCTGCACAGGTAAAACAGAGCACAGATCCAGCTGTCTCTCAGTTACATGCATTACTTTTATAAAAGTCCCTAAAGTCATGTTTAATTGAGTTTACCTGACCTAACATTAGTTTTCCAGTTTAAGATAATCATCCAACCTACCCCAACAGGCAACGGAGAAAAAGAAGTGTCTACAGAAGAGCAATTATTTCATCTAACACAGACCTCTGTTCAAGAACTGAAAGTGTCTTCCCCATTTAATTGACTTTAAGAAAATTGCATTCAACTTCACATCATCCTTTAGGCAGCTAAGCTAGGTGAAATGAATTTGGCTTAGGTATCAATACATTTTCTAGGATTATTGCAAATGTGATCATTCTGTCTCATACTTTATTTCTGTCTGTGATGACAAGAATCATCTCTTGAAGATTATTTTCTAGTTCCCTTTTTCATATCTGTATGAACCTGAAATGTCAGTTTACCCATGGACAAAATCATAGTACATTTGTTTCTAATCCATTCAACTAATTATTTTGTTTTCTTTAATAAAGGTTGCTATTCAGGGAAAAATAGAAAAAGGAAGTAGATAAAGAGGGAAAATGGTTCTTCCAGGCAGAATTCAATTCACATAAGTTTTATGAACAGTAAACATGCAAAAAAGTCAGGATTAAAGCAAAAGTACTTTGCAGATAGAAAAACTGAGTAAATTGCTTGAAAAGTATATTGACAAAGAATAGTTTAAATATTTTGTGGGTATTACAAAACAGTGTCACCTGCATTCACTCTGCTGCTTTTTGCATCCTTGGTGTTTTCTTTGCCAGTATTTTGATGCTCTACATTGCACACTAATGTCAATGAAATGATGTAGCAACAGAAGGATCTTCCTGTTTTGCATATAGAGTTGATTCTACCATTCAGATTTAATGAGTAGCATCTCACTCTTCAAGTGATAGAATGGTGTTATTTGTTGTGCACGAATTGACCTTAATTTAGGGTGTTTTGAAGCAAGTATTTGTTTTGGCTCCCTCCATAGGAAAAAAGTAGGTCTTTCGTAACTGTGCTAGATCACGCATGCATTGTTTCTGTACCAAGCAAGTGAAGAGGAAAATGTGGTTATTCAACATTTCTCCAAGACTGGACATTTCAAGAAAAAGGATGAGCAGTTATTGCTTGAAATTATCTGTGGGTTTTTTGGTTTCTCTGGAAATTGAGGTTTAAAAAAAGTTCTTCCTTCACCATATAAGTACATTTTAGCAGTTATCAAGATCATTTTGAATTTAGGATTACTCTGGAAGAGGTTCAGACATAGAAATTTACTTCTCAGTCTGTTCACATAATGTATTTTGAAGGTTTATTCATATTTTATAGAAAGATGGATATGACAGTAAAATATTTATTGCTTTGTTTCTTCCTCCCATCATACGTTCAGTCATGTGTCTGATCTGACCTTTATAAAAGTATCCTAGATTTGGATATGTTGGCAAAAATCAACTCCATCACAATCACTGTATTTTGTCTGTAGAATTTGTCCACACAATCACAGAATATGATTTAGTATTGATGTGTTAAATGTTCTGTCAGAAAGACAAAACACTTCCTGCAGAATGTGCCTTTACTATAACACACAAGACAAACACTTTCTCTTACTGTCGTTTACCTTTAAATCTTACCTTTATATCCCATTTACTTTTTACATTATTTTAGATGGCTATCAGAGATCAACAAAGAATATTTTGTTTAGTGGAAATGTGGCTGCTGGGGATTTAACCTCTACCCTTCAGAAGTGCTAAAATGCATTGAGGTCTGCAATCATTCTCATATTGATCGCTGTAAATCCAGCCAGACTGCTACTCTTACCAACACTGCTGATACTGCTGTGTCTGAAAATAAGAGACTGGCCTTCTTTTTTAGGTTATTTGCTGTCTCTCACATCACAGACAGAAAACATACATAAAACTTTTTATGTCATTGTCTGTAAATGCTGTTACGACATCACAGACAGAAAACATACATAAAATTTTGTATGTCATTATCTGTAAATGCTGTTAACTATTAGTTGTGTAGTAAACACGAGTCACGTTTTCTGTGTCACTGAAGTGTCCACCTGGTCATCAAGTAAATGTATGCTAATGTCATTACAAGTTAATATCTTAACTCATTAGCCTCCCTAAGAACATGAATCACTGCGAAAAATCCCATCAACTTAATTAATTCCCCTAATTCTAAAAACATTGGGTCGGGTCTGAAAATCCTATCAATAACGTAAGGAACAAGGATGGATTTATTGTGGTTATGAAGGAAGCCAAACTCCTACCTGCTGTCTGTCTGACTACATATAAAGAAATGGCACATTTTAAAATACAGAGAGCATTCCTACCCTTAGGGAATAGCAATCCATAAAATTTGAGCCTATTTAAATCGCTTTGGAGGAGTCTTAGCACTGCAAGGTTTATTTATAGTTCTGACTGGCAAATACCAGTCTTCTTGGTTCTCTCACCTTGAATTGCTTTAGGATGTCAAAAATATCTCTGATTCATCACTCATTGGTGTAACAAAAACTGGAGGTGGAAGACTCATTCCACTGAGCTCATCAAGTGCAAGGACTGTGTCAATGTGAAAGATGTGTCTGTGCTCCCTCTCGTGTTGACAGATACAGTTCAGTTATATTTCACCTGGTAAATCTACTGAGTGAATGGCATTTCAGCCACTATTTTTAAGAAACAGAAGTACCTAGAGTAAGGAGGCAAAATAAAATGTGAATGTGTGTTATCAAATGTTGCAAATTTACTGGATGCCCTCAGCATTCCAGTTTTATTGTTGGACCATTTCAATAGGCTGAGAGGAGAATGTGGGAACTGAAGAACCTCAAGGTGTCTTTATTCCAAGTTTTCAGTCAGCCAGGCAAACTGTGTTGCAATGCTTAGGCCAACTGGTGTTCATTGAGATGAAGATATTCCCTGACTTTCAGTCTCTTAGCAATTCTGGGGAAGTTGAATGGTCTAAAAGCTAATGGTGAACTTGCTTGGTGGTGATCTTATTACCTTTGCTGACACCCAACAGCAATCATGACACTGGTCAAACATTTGTTAACTTGTCACACTTAGGTGTGCATATTTGATTTTAATATGTATGCTTCAATTAAATATCTTCCCAAGCTTTAAAACAGGGAAATCATATATAGTGAAGACAAAGCCCCTTATTATTAAAAACACTGAAATAGCAATCCCAATCTCTCTTTTATAGCAAAGATAATAATGTAACATTCCTAGCATAACATGGAAGGATGTCACTTACCTTACAAGTCACAGACCTTCACTGTAAAATTTTTGACTATGAACAGTCCACGCTATTCAATCCAATTCAGTTGAATTTTCATTTTATAACTTATTAACAAAGAAGGCTGCATTAACTAGAGAAGAAAGAGTATTTATATGACCTATAATGCTTCCTTTGAAGAGAAAGTAAATAAGGGTAATGGGCAAACTAGAGAGGAGGTGGCCAATGTGGGGAAATGATAACTGTACTTTGATTGCCCAGTATAAATGAGGTGAATCTGGCTATAAACAATATGGGATAGAGGCTGTTGGAATATTACTATCACTGTTTAATCTTGGCTATAAACAATATGGGATAGAGGCTATTGGAATATTAGTATCACTGTTTAATCTGCAAAGTATTTCCTGAGTTCTGGGCAATGATGTCTTTTCATACAAGCAGCTTTCTCACTCCTCCAAGTAAAAGTGCTACCCAGGTAGACTTCAGAATCTGTTTCACCTCAGCCATGTCCCAGAGATTTTCCATTCATGTGTTTTCAGACAATAAGTTTTCAATCATAGCTTTTCAAGTTTTTAAGGCCTTGTCATCTTAAAGCATGTGGCATTGGAAACACATGATTTAAGTCTTCTCAGAAGGACAGTGAGGCATGCAACTGGATTATTGACCAGTCCATGAAAGGATTATAAAGAAAATGTTAACAGTTTTTCTGCATGTTGTTTGCAGTATTTTTGGGCAAGTCTGAATAGCACCAAGTGCTGAATAACAAAACTAGACTTTTTCAGAAGGTCTTTTGCAAAGGCAGTAGCATGTGTGTCATGGCTGTCCAGCCTATCAAAGCTGTCTCTTGTGATATCACAGACATGGTTTGCATGTTGCTTGGAAAACACAGTGTGACTAGAATGGTCATGGGCACCTAAATAGTTGGAAAAACCAGAACAGAAGGAGTAAGTCACTATCCTTCCTCCTACTCTTGTCACACTTCCTTCTTATCCCTGAGTTATAGATGGGCTCGAGTGTAACACTGACTGATCTTGGTCATTTATTGGTGGGAGGTGCAGTAGGCACCAGATCTTCCTGAATTTTAAAATACTGTGGTGAGCTCTGCTTGCTGTTCAGCCAGCTAAAATTAGAAACATTGATCAGGCCATCACAGTGAAAAGAGATTTTGCAGTCCCCATGAAGAAAGGGATACTGAAGAACCAGCATCCCTTCTTGAGTCCTTCTGATAATTACAC